GTTCGGAGCTTGACTGTTAACTTGCTGGGCCCGCCTCAAACACAACTCGAATTCAGGACGTTTGTCGATACACTGCTGATAGAAGGCCTGTAGGACAACGGGGTAGGTGAGGGTAGGGAGTATTCATTTCAATCCAATAAGACAGACGAAAAAGTGAATCTTGATTGTTACGTAAACACATCAAACGTAATGTATATTCATCAATATCCTCCAGTTTTGAAAGGTTCACCAACTGCAAAGGGGCTCAGATGTGAGTCACAGTTTAATATAGTGTGTGCGTTCGTGTTGTCAGCTGCCAGATCTTGACACTGTCACGTTTGGGGGTCCAGCAGTTTAAGCAACCATAACTGATGTGTGCTTTGGGTTCTAAGACCCGAGATTCGAATTCTGTCACCACCACCACCTAATCGGTGTTGTATCACTGATACGCTTTAAATATCATTTAAGCGCGAACCTGGTGGTTCCCGAATTGCAAGATTGACTAAAGGGATATAAATTTTAGCATGATGAATATAACTCAATTTAAAATAAGTTAAACCAAACGGACACAACCATTCCCAAGTAAATGAGAGAGTTCAAACAGAAAAAATGTATCACATCATACATACAGTGGGGGTTTGCTTACCTCAAAATCAACAGCTGCCTGTTTTCTTGTCTTTGTGTTCCCGCTCTGTCTTTGCAACAGTTGACGTACGGTGGTTTGTGTTTCTTGTACCCACACAGTCAGCTGATCGATATGATCCAAACACTCATTCCAAACACTCAACAATTCCGTCAGCCCATTGATTTCTTCGGCCTGCGTTTGTTCCAGTCGCGCCATACGGCTCTGCAGTTCCTCCACGTGATCTTGAATCAACACACTGAGCTGAAGGCACGAGTCCATGGTGGATACTGACTGATCAAGTTCCACATTTTCTTCCGCTAGACGCAAATTTGCAATCAACTGCTCACCGGAATCTGAGGTACGTTTGGCCAGCAAACGTCCACGACCGTGTAATGCTTCGCCCAAATTCTGGAAAATCACCAATCGACGTTCGGCATCGGCAATATGAGTCACGCGGTAGGTAGTTCGACCGGGGCTATCCAATGTCAGATCAGTGGAAGCGTTCATGGCTCGTGTTCTTGAGTGCACATTCGAACTGACTAACAGCCCATCCTCACTGACTAAACTGTCCACACGACTTTCTATCTCAACCAGCCATGCAGAAAATGCCATGGAGGCAGATTGAAAAGCATGTACTTTATGAATCCGGGCGCACAACTCAGTTCGTGACTCATGCAAGTGATTGACCATTTGCATGAAACGATCTTTGATGTTTGCTATATCCACTCGACCACCTGGACCACCCACATCTTCCAGCCGATTGATTTGATGCTCACGAATCATACAATCGGATGCCATTTGTGTCAACTTGTCCACCGCTTCTGTGGTTTGTTGCTCGATTAATTCCATGGATTTTTCGAATTCGGTAAACTGTTGCGCAATAGTCACAGCGATACTGGTCGGGCTGGCATGTTGAACGATTGCATCGATTTGACTGGACGCACTAGACAACCAGGATAACAATTGCATATGGGCCAGATTGTGACTGCTTGCTTTCTTGTGCAATTTGTCTGTGCGTTCTTGCACTGATCGGACAGCGTTAGACCAAGTCTCATAATCACTGATCACAAACAAACGAACTTTCGGTTGACTAGTTGTTGAAACCGCCGTCACGGTTGGAGATGTCACGCCACGAAAGTGTTGCAGCGTTTCTTGTTCCGCACGACGTTGTCCGCGTTGCAAAGCGAGCTCGGCCACGAAGCGATCAGTCCAATCGCGACACAGCTGAACCAGGCTGGCCCCGGATTCTAAACGGTTTGAAAGTGTACTCGCACTTTTTCGTATCGTATCTAGATCGAGAGCCGGTACAGATGTGGCAATTCCATCTCCGGTTTCATCGGAATCATTAGTCACATCTGCGTCAGCACTGGCAGTTTGCGGATTTAACTGTCTAGTAGTTAGTTTCAGTTGTGTGTCAAGCTCCTCAGCCCATGTTTTGTATGTTTCACAGGCGGCTAGCAGTTGTTCAACCGTTCGACTAGCTGTGTAATTGAGTTGAGTGCGACGGTCAATCAGGCTGAGCAGGGTTTGATAACGTTGCATAAGTTGTGTCGCTTGAGTCACAGCTAGACTGGTAACCAATGGAGCTCGAGTCTCCTGTTGCTCCATTGCAGCAGCCTGTTTTGGGGGAAATGAACCACTGGTCACAAGATTTCGAGCACTCACCAGCAACGCTTCCACACTGGCCTGTTTTGAAACCAGTTCTACACGAAATTCTTGCCCAAATCGAACTTGGTCGTGCACACGTTCGACCAAACGTCGCACATCGTCCAGTCCGGTCAAATGTACCGTGCTGGCATAAACTTCCGATCGGATTTCAGCCGCGATCGACTCGGCCAGACTATTCTCTCGCTCGGTCAGCCATTGGGATAACTCATCCACGGTGACAGCCAGCTCAGACCATCGAGTGATCCACGCTTGTGTCTGTGAGATCAAATCAGTCATACAGTCTAGAGAATGGTGAACCTGTTTTCGAGCCGTGTCTGTCAACTGGTCTGATGAGAACTTCTCCAACAGATCAATTGTTGTTCCAGATGGATGAACGGCTGACTGGAAGAGTGTTGTCACAATCGTTTGCAACTCGTTCAATTTCCTATCACTTTGTTTGCGCATTGTTTCCGTCAGACGTTCTATTTGGGCCAATTTAAGTTGCATCTGTTCCGTGCAACCGGAAAGCCGGTGACCCTTGCGAAGATCCATTACGGTGGGTCGAGTGCAACGTTCCATACTGGCGACAAGTGCCTGAACCTTTTGCTGTTCCGAGTTCAACCACGTGATCAATTCGGCCCGAGTTTGAGCAAATTTCTCACACTGTGTGACCAAACGGTTCCATGATACACGTTTTCGTTCTAAACACTGTTCAAAATCGCGTACTTGTTTTGTGAATGTCATTAAACGTTCCGGTCCGGAAGCGGATCCATCGGTGACATCCACACTGGCACTAGTTCTGTTCAGACGTGTTCGAGCTAGGTGTTCCGCTTTTGCATGTTGTTGAATCACTTGCTCCAGTTGTGGCATTTCAATTTGAAGGAAATGCTCCACTTCCGCGTGCAGCGTATCCCATGTGTGTGATTTGGGAGAAATCCAACCGGACAGATAGGCCAGTATTTGATCCAGATCACCCAAAGGCATCAAAATTGATCCGATCAGATTGGAAAAACTCGTCCCGGTGTCCTGTTCCGTGGCATCCAGTTGGAGAACCAAACCTTGGAACCAACGCTGAGCCCGATCAAATGTAGTATCTAGTTGACTTTGTGAGAGCAACTGTTGCCCTAGTTCAGCTCGTATATGTTGCAGTCGAGTAGTATGTCGATCCCAACGGGCGTAAAAATGTTCCAAAGCCAATGTTAACGGGCGAACATCAAATGACGATGAACGACCAGAGTCGAAACTCTTTGCACCGGGTTGTATAACTCGACTGAGCATCAAATTTTGAACAGACTGTTCCACAGCATCCCGAGCCACACGACCTTTTTCACACAAATTGTTCTCTATCTGCTCCAATCTATCCAAACATTGAACAATCTCTTCATAATTATCATTCATAGGTTTGCATTTGCCATCCTCATTTGCTGGCGTACCATCCAATTGGGGAGCGTCATCCGACCAAATCCGATCCACAGCCGATTCGTCTAATGTGATCCAATCTTCCGCCTCACGAAAACAAGTGACGAAATGATCCCATGCCTTATACTCTTCACCAAGCTGTGTTTGTAGGCGGCGTGAACGAACAGTGAGATTTTCATATTTGGACTTGACACGGACGAGATGTTGATTCAAATGGAAATACACACGATTTGTGCCTTCCAGAAGTTGACCAATTATCAACTGCAGTTTATCCAGTGTCGGTTTCAATGCAACCAATTGGGGACTCGCATCTCTTAAACGTGATTCACGTGATTGGCAAAAATTCATCCACGAATCGATCAAATTCCAATGCACACACGCGTCAGTCACACTGGGTTCGTCTGTGGGACGGTCTACACTTTGAATCTCAGACAGTTCTCCTTCGAATCGATCCAACTCACTATCAACACGTTCAAACAACTGATCGACTTCGTTCACAGTGTTTTGTTCCACACGTAAACGATCCAAACGAGTTTGACAGGTTTTGGCCAACTGTGAAAGTTGTATCAACAGGAACTGTACAGCTCGAGTGGCATCTGTCCTCGGCTCTGCCAAATACGGAAGCTGCACAGATTCAAATTTGAATGTATCCAGTTTGGTGGCCGTAATTCTCAACCCGTCAACACGTTCAGCTATTGTGCGCTGACTTTCGGCGGCCGATTGGATCGGTTGTTTGAACGAGCCGTGTGCAATCAGTTCTTCCAATTGGGCCTTGGTCCCCAATTGTCTGGACCATTGTTCAAGAGCAGTGCTGTCCAGCACACACGAGTGCTCCGGTTGTGTGCTGCCACGATCTGCATCTGAGTCCACGGTAAACATGGCACCATGAGCAAATTGGTTCTGTAATTGGGCTAGCTCTTTCCAAACTTCACCGTAAATACGGGCGAATTCCGAGCACAGATCACTCAGACCACGTGATTCCGCAAACAGAGCCAGTGCTTGTTGTTGAAGTTGATGAAACTGTTCCGTGGTCTGATCTAGTGATGTGGCTATAGCCGCATCCAGGTTGGAGACCAGCACCGTTTCGTTCAGGGCTTGAATAGCACGAGTCAGTTGTTCGACTTTGGGATATTTGGCATTCACTGTCCGAACGAACTGACGTGCCTGTTCACAGAACGCCTGGGATTCTACCGCACGGGCATTGCATTGCATAGCCAGACTTAGACCAGGCGAGGATTTAGTGGCCCCGTCCGTGAGCAACACGGAATCCGATTGAGGCTGCAACGGAATCGAATGCTGGAGTTGAGATAAATTGGTTGTCTGCTTGGTAATCCACTCGATTAGCATCTCTAATTGGCCGGACAGAGTGGACCATGTGGTTTGTCGTTGAACTAATTCCGTTCGGCACTGTTCGATTGAATGAGACTGGCGTGTCCAGTCCTGTTGCAATTGGTCCAAGCGTTCGGTCATGGCTCGACGACCGCGTTCGGTCAGGCAAGGAATGAGTGTATGCAGTTTGTTCTGCGCTTCGGACAACTCGGTACTCAGACGAGCGAGTTCCGAGTTCAGATCATCCAACTGAATCAACGCATCTTCCAGAGTGGTCTCAGCCATATCTGTATCAAGGTCTGTCAGATGGGCGGTAATTTGTGTTCGAATCTGTTCCACTCGATGAGCGATTAATAGTAGATTGTCTTCGGCCATATGTACTGAGTCATCCCAATTGGTTAATTCACTGAGTCGATTTTGCCAAACTGTCGATAGCTCAGCGAGCGTTTTTTGTAGCCGGGCGATGCGTGCATAGATCTCATTCACGCGTACAGTGGAAAGTGTAAAGGCATCCATCATTTGAACCTGGCTTGCCTCATCAAGATCACCAAGACCGGAAGGGACTTCGTCCGCCACTTTGGGCAATTTTCTCAAGGTCAAATGAAGTTGGTTGGCTAATTGGCGCGTTTCGGTTGCCAGCTGATTGGGCGACATAGTCTGATCATCAACATCGTCATCATCATCATCATGATCGTCAACCTGAGTGATTTCTACCTGAGCGATTGAATCCTGAGAATTTTCTGGAATCAGAGCAAGGCAGCCGGTGACTGATTTGAACACTTCCAATCGATCCACAATATCCTCCTTCGAATGAATCACACTGTTCGTTTGTGATTTTAGCCAACTTTCTAAACGATTCATCGAGGCCACACATCGATCACGAGTGTATTCAAATAATTGCCAAGTCTCAATCCCGGTTCCCAATTGGTCCATAACAGTTTGTATTTGATTTTGCGCATCCATCCAACGGGCATGAATTTCGAAACTGTGAAATAGAATAGCCGCACGAACTTGAGCCAAATTGAACGATTCGGCAATCTCAGAGAGTTTCGTCAATTCTTCCTGCACGGGGATTAGGCCGTGTTGTAGATTATATTCCACACACCGTTTGATTTCGGTCCATTTCACATTTCCTTCTGATGCGATGGAATGCAAGTCCTGATTGGATAATGATCAAAATGGAATGGAGAGGGAGGGAGACATGTCAGATGACTTGCGACTAAAACTGAACAAAAAATGAATGCCATATGTTCATCAAATGGTGCCCATAGAAATTTATTCACCCTCCAATAAGATTTAAATCAATTATAAGTAGAAATGTTCTTGCAAGTCTTGCACATTCTGTTCGGAAAACATGAAATAAACCTGAACACACAATATACTCATTCACTTAATAAATATATATTTATGAAGTGCTCAAACATTAAACACCAGTAATGTCCAATTACTTTATTTACCCGCTCGAATAGTATCCACGACCCGCTGAGTGACTTCGATTAATCGTACCGGGTTACGTAACCTGTAATGCAATGAATTGATGTGCATACTTTCCCTAACATGAGCTCTGAAAATCCGGGCAACTGAAAACCGATAGTGCTTTAGGCGGATCCTACATACAATGTGAATGTGAGGAGAGAACCAAAGCTCGTGATGTCACTCATGATTTCACTCAGGCAGGGTACGGGCATATTCTGTCAACAATATTACCGAGAAATACAGTAAGAACATCACGAATTCGATCCCCGAAAGGACATGCGCCTCAGTTAACCTCGGCGGGATTTGTGTACATGTTGTGTCGAGGATGCGCTGTTCAATGTGGGATAAAGAACTTCACACACGAGAAAAACATATTATGTTCTCGACACAGAATAACTTGTTACAGACCGAAAAGTTTTTCACAACACATTTTACTGGCGAGAAATGTGCCCATAGGTGAGAGACGAGCTTCATGCAAAAATCGACATGTGCGTAACAACGGCAGACTTAATCCAAACATACTACTGGTACACAGTGAAGTAGTCAGTCGGAAAGTTATTTTACTTCTCTTGCCTTGTACTTTAAATGATTCGTGAAAACTCAACAACCCACACATTTCCCTCCAGGAGTTACAACGGATCAGAACAGCATGTAAGTCAGTGTAAAACCGGAGTACGGACGATCGTGTCCAACTTGTTAGTGGGAGTCAGATTGATCTATTTATCTCTGACTTAGTTACTTAAAACATTCTGAAGGACATTTTACTATCTATCACAATGCAGTTAAATGTTTCCGTGATTTCCCACGGGGTCGAGGAAGTCGGTCGGTTTGAGTTGTGGGCATTCACGGGGGTAAAGGTTTCATGGGAGATGGTTCAGCTTATGCAATCTGGCCCTTTTGAACGACAGTTTGGCGACGGTCTCTTGGTTATCCATTGGGATGAATTACAGTGAAGATTAGCCAAGCGCCTACGCGTGGCAGCTNCAAAGAACCACAGGACAATCGTTCTGACCAATCAGAAGTCATGCGGTCCAAACAGAAGCCGTATGACGTCAAGAATATAAGCACGCGATTAGTGGATCCCTGTATAACCAATAAACTTCCTTTGTACATGTTATTTCATCCCATTGATTCTTTTTATGAAACGAACTGCTACTTCTGTGGCCCTTTCCCTGCGTCTCGATGACTGGAGATTCCGGCGTACAAGTGCTAGTGCGACTCAGTGTTTCCGTGGCGTCCGTGATTCGTGATTCCTAATCTGAACCTACTTTGATCACTACGGTCAGGCAGACCAAAGTTGCCGGGACATTGGGCAAATGCTCGAGCATCACTGTTTGCGATACCCAACCAGATCACTCAGTGCAAAGAACCAGCGATTACGCTGATCTCAAGATCCCCAACAAGGAAACTTAAAGTGACCGAGGTTAATTAGTCTTCTGATCAGGTTTCGCATTCTCTCATGTCAAATCTTAGCTGGTTCTCGAACCAGGCCGAGGTCTGGTACTAAGCAGCTGTGAACTAATTTCAGCCTACTGCAAATTACATAGGTACAGTTGTAGGTTCCTTGTTTTTGTATTCGTAGCATAAACGAACAGATAAAGGAGATTTGAGTAGAAAATAAATCTAAGGATTCCACTCCGAGTCAATAAATACTCTTATTACGGTCAATCGATAACAAATACATAGGATGTGTAATTCGTCATGACAACCAGAGGTCACATTTTGAGCATGTATGTGCGTTGGTCCTAGCCAGCGAGATGACGCATACCACGGAGAGGCACGTTACAGTTTTCGGTCAACTGTGATCAATGAAGCTTCCCGGGTGACGTCAGCAAGGCGCGTACGTGTCACAGCGTCTAGACTACAAACCATAGGCCGATTGTACCAACCAATCAGAAACCGTGCGGCCCAGAGAGAAGCTGAAAAACGCCAGAAATACTAGCACGCAATTGGCAGAGATTTGGATGACCAATGCATTTGGTTTGTAAATATTATTTTATCCCCCTGATTTATTTCAATAAATGAGCCACTATTCATATAACCTTTTCCTCACGTATCGGTTCCGTAGGATACTGAGTGCAAGTACCAGTGTGATCCAGTGCTTAGGTTACGTCCGTGATTTCTATCCGTGATTAGTATTTCGTGATCGGTGCGTACTACTAATACTACCATTACTACAAATTGATGAAAGCGTTGTTCATTTTCGATAAAGATAGATAAGTGAAGAGTGAAAAGCAAGCGGATTCATCATAGAATCGTAGGACATATTCAGCGATAAAGCTCATGCACAAAAATGTCAGTCTTACGTATTTGTGCGCTCAGGACTATTGCTTGTATGAAGAGAGAAAAACGACGTTATACACCCCGAGGAAAGAAGATTGAGTTCAAGTGAGAGGAATGGGTTCGCATTTGAGTACGGTTGCGTCTGTGTTTGAATTCAACGGAAAGATTGGGAAGTGTTTGGAGAGAATGGGAGGGGACGTACGATGGTGCGTACAACAAACAATGAAGGAACGACAATGACGACGCCAAATTGGAGAGAGAGATTTGTACGGACTTACCAATCGTTTCTATTCGTTCACGAGAGATTGTATCAATAAACTAATTTAGAATAGAGCTTGGACAGTTCATATAAAGTGTAACGATAATAGAAAACTCAGATAGAGATATTCAGTGTGTCACTGGTTTATACCAACAGCTACGAATTGTACGCGGTCCAAAATGCGTGCAAGTAAGTATCCTTTTTTCGCTTTCTCTCTCTCTCTGCATTCATTCAAGTCAAAAGTCGCTTTAATGAAACCCAAACTGTGATTACCCATAATTGCAGCATGAAGTTTGCTAGTGAATGACAAACAATATAATAATAATAGTAATAATAATATATAAACTCTATTAGCTTGAATGGAAAGCCTTTCACCAAATCAGGTCCTCTATGTAGGTGGTAGGTAAATGTGTTCCGATACACTCGCTGGACCAGATTTAAATCTCCGGATCACAACTGTGCATCAAATATGGATTACAAGTAATATAGGTAAAAAACAGTTATCACAGTCTCCCATCTATTGGCCGAATATCTCTTACTACTTGATTAGGAAATCTGGGGTTTGCCTGCATCTACACTGTCGATTTACTGCAACCACCCATTCAGAGTGGAGGAAAACTATGCACAAAATTATTTGGCAGAATAGAAAGGCGATGATATTTTTGTTTATTCGTCTGTATTTCAAGTCCTGCCATCACCTACTTTGATCAATTCCAGCCTTGCTTGAAGCATATGTCGATCTCCAGAGAGACTGGTGTAATGTGCCAGACTTTGCTGCAGTTGTCCAATCCATTCGGTCATTACATGCCACGATTCGGCCAGTTGATGATGCGAGCGAACAGCCTGTTCGAGACGCTGGACAACGTGGTCTGTGCGTTTGACCAAGGCCGCGTGTTGACTGGTGAGGGAAGCCAAAATGTTGGAATGTGCAGGCAGGGTCGCGTCTGAGACCGGGGCTTCGTCCAGACCGAGAGAATGTACCGTCCGTTGCAAACAAAACAATCGCTCACCTACCGACTAGGTGAATGCGGAGTATGTGAGGGCAAAAGGAATGGAAAACGGAACGCAGATATGGTCATGTACACAAACTATAATGATGAACTCGTATTTAACTACTGACAAAACTTTCAGTAGTCAAGCTGAGATCTGTAAGAGATCGTTTTGAAATACCATCATGTGTACTGGCAAATGGAATCAGAAATGATTCCGAGCATGAAACGCTTACTTCCAATCGCATTATGGAATAACTTAACTTGAACGGGCTCTAAAGCTAATGTGACTAACCATTAGCTTTGCCTTGGTGATTGACCCCTGCCCTATCTCGTCAGCCCTTTTGTGTTTTTGCGTTGCGTTTTCCGTTGTGATTAGCGATCTTGTGTTTTTTCTCTCTCAAATCCGTTATCTCACTGACTATAAAAATCACTTGGACTGCAGTATGCACGTGTACAGATGCAGCGAAATGACCATGGATACATTGTGCAAACCCATTTTCTGACTTCTCAGTTCAAATTTATGACGGGAAAACAGTGTTTTCAACTCATAATGGGCCATCGGATTTGGATAACTGGCTTGGAGTTTTGTTTTGAACGGACCCAGACCAAATAGTCACAATGTTTCGACTTAAACAGCGATAAACAGATCACGCAAACCGGCTGTTGGAAGGTCCCAGAATAATAGCCGAATTTCGAGAATACTCGACATTTTCATTATCCTGATGGTGCTCAGATGGACAGGTTTAATTGGTTGTATTGATATCATAATACTAGATTACACCATATTGTGAATCAGCATAACCTCCTAATCCGTAATTGATAAGTATGTTCTCAAATATTGCTTCTGCGGTTATGGACTTCATACTCAGTGGCCTCAACATATTCAGTGCTCTGTATTTCTTTTTACAAAAGTGGAATGCGATCATCCACTGCTTCCCATTTGAAAAGGTTTCTAGGGTAAATGTTGAATCTGTTAAGACGAGAACCTGAAATGTCATTCACCATTTGTAAACTTTTCTCTAAGGCGTATTCAATGAAAATGAAACAAGTTATATATATTCTTCAATCAGTATTTGTTTTCATGCAGCACAGGTCAACAAAATCAAATGATCCGACTGTAATCTGACCTGAGCATCTTTTTTCAACTGCCTGGCCGCCGCGGACAATTTGATCTGCCCATCCAAAGAGGCCGAAATCACCGATTCGACCGGACAAGGCCAGTGTGGCATTTCACGTTCGGGCCAAGTCGAATCGGTCGCCTGGTTCCAGTCCACTGGGGTTTGGGAGATTTCCTGAGGTAGTACAAGACGAGGCTCTATTTGGTTGAGCTGTTCCTCGATATGCGTCAGACGGGTGTGCAAATTCTCACGATCAGACAGAAAGGCGTTGAGTGAAGTGAGTCGAGCGTGTACCCGTTGCTGAGCCAATCCAAGATCGTCGAACCCGAAAGACCATTGGGAATGCGCTTCACGAACCAGTAGCTGACAAGCAAGCAGTCCTATACTGAGTGGTGTGTGAGCCAGTTTGTTCCCCGTTGCAGTGCCCCATTCAGGGCCTGACCACCGATGTTGTTCATCTAGTACTGTTTGCAACTCGGTGCTCATCCTGGTCAATCTGTCCAAGGCAGCCTGACCGTTTGATTGAGCCTGTTGTGCCAAACGATTCAAGTCGGTCTGTAACTCGGTCAGTTTGGGGATGAGAGTGGCGGATAGATCACTCGTGTGATCGAATGATTGTAACTCGTATTGGACGAGGCCACATGGACCACCGTGTGTAAGGAGTTTCACTGCGCCACTATCCGACCACCATCGTTGCCAGTGCTCCCAGGCGTCGTGGACCGATTGTAGGACATGCAGACTTTTCGCATTCCAGGCACACCAATCCTACGAGAGACAAAAAAGACGATAAGTTGTTTTTGATCAGCAGAACACTCAATTTGGTAGGTAATTTGAGAGCAAACTGAGGAATAGCCGGTGTACTTGAATAAACCTTGGAGGAAAGGTATAAATAAACAAATTGACATGTACATTTATGTAGACTCTGATAGTGGCCAGTGCAAAGATATTTGCATCTAGCAGCAGCAGCAGCAGTAGCAGCACCAGCATGGTGTGGAAGAGGCCAATATGACAATGTAGGGATGCTTGGGTGGATTCAGTGATTACAAAAACGTGTTTGTGGAGTTTAATCGAACAAACTTACGCATCAGAAGACGGTGTTTCGGTATGCGGCATAAGTGTGGCACCATTCAGAGTTTGCAATTCACAATGCACGAATCCGGTGAGAGCAGTTATTCTCTGCTCTGCTGTGCAATATTGAATATTTCAATATGGTCAAGATACACCAGACAGCTGATGTTGATGATGAATAGTTGATGTGAATACTCAAAATCGTCATCCTTGAAAAAATTGAGGTTCTTAGCGAGAGAAACGGAAAGACTACCTACTGCCAACAGGGACTGGAATCTACGGAATTCGAGCCTAGGCCTGAGGGATAAAAACTACATGTTAGGACGGAGCGCACAGAATCTGTCCGGCCACACATCGACCCGCGTCACACCAGAAGTGCGTTCGTGACGCCAAAAGCCGAATCGATTCCGGAATGGATGACTAAGGCGAATCAGACAGCTGTCGTCCGATCGACCGATCGGGATATCAAGGTTGCAACCTGATCGGTGCGTCATCACATCGTTTCTTGTTCGCCTAACTTACCACCTATATTTGCGTATTGCTTCATGATCTGTCGTCTTCTCAGCCGTGTTCTCTCTCCGAATTGTTGGGGGCTAGTTAAGAGGTGCACGTATCGATCATATGTCTTGGCAATACATAACACTACAAATCGTCATAGTTACTGATTAAGGAATATGTCTCTCTCAAAACGTACGAAATCAACGGGAACTCAAGAATTGACTTTTGGCAAGTGCTGACGAGAAGTTGCACGGCAAACCTAGAACTGTGACCTCCATAGTACTAATAATCTAATTCACAGAAACGACATGCCATTACCTGCAGCTTTTTCAATAGACCATCAACATGTTGCAGACTGTCCAGGTCCGAGGAGGGAAATTGATCACTGCCCGGTGTAGCATCAGTGCCTGCTTCGGTTCGTAGTGCTTCCAGCTCCTCGGTGCGTTCCTTGAGGAATTCCTATGCAAATGTAAGAGATAAATTTCCGATTTGAGTAAAGTACTGTTACAATTTAATGAAAACCGGCGAACATTCGCATACAAACACTGCCTAGTTAGAAAAGTATACCCGAAATCAATTAGATAACCGATTAGAACGGAAAACGAGGTCGAACATTGATTGTCAACGATTTAATGGCTTTTTATACAGGGTCGTGATAGTTACAAATGAGCTCAAAAAACAGGAGCCTAAAAGAAAGTTCCACTGGGCCATCATGAGACTAATTATTTTCTGAAAGTAGCTGTCATTCGATCATCTGATGAGGGAAGTCACATATTCATGTCAAAGGTATGTATGCGCTGCTACTAGTACTACTACTGCGACGGCTTGCATGAATAAGAAATAACTTTATTCTACACTGGCGTCAAGTGGACAGAGATACAGCAATGCTTATTTCAGGGCAATCAAGAACTATCGAATTCGGCTTTAAATCCTAGGTTATCTATGTTGAGATCCAAAATGCTGATCGTTCCGAAGTAAACTGGAGTTGAGAATGTAACAAACCAGGATGTATCGAACAAGAATGGCACCTCTGAGTTTAAAGGTTGTCTTGTCCTTTGGAAGTATCCTCAATTTCTCCGGCCACTGACTGATTCGAATTTCTAACCAGTGACTCCAAGAGGATGGGGTATGCATCAGCGGTCATACTCCAGCAAATTGCTGGACTGACAGATTAAACTAAGTTGAGGATAACTGAGGTCAAAAAAGCCTCGATCCAACGGCTACAGAAAAAAAATCTGCCCAAACAACAGGGTTGCACAAATCCACGGGGTTGATATCACTCTGCGGCAGAGTGGTGAATGAGGTCCTACGAGGCTGCCGTCTACTATGCACCAAAACAACGCTACCTTGCAGTCCAGATTTGGCTGTGCAAAGTCTAGAGGTGTGCTCGCGACAAAGAACAAAGCGAGGCTGGGGCCATTCTTTGTAACACATTTCATGATAGTTATGAGGAAAACCTATCCGATCAGGAGAGCTAACTGTGGTAGCAAACAAGTAATGACAATTAAAAACCTACTTAAGCAGTCACCAGCAATGCAACAACATAAACGTCTATGCTAACCAAGTGCTAACGACAAATCCTTATCTGTCTCGATTCGACGAGAGGCGTCGATAGAAAAAACTCTACAAGAGAATAAGGACCAGGTACAAAACGGATATGGCCCTACCTCATATGAACTGTTCAATTTGGTTTGAGCGGAAATCATTTGATCTACGGTGTTGCCAAACTCCTCGTGCGCTGGGAGTTGTGCATGCTCTGTGGTTGTTCCAATGCTGTACCGCTGAATCAGTTCTGCCTCTGTCCCATTCCATTCGAGCTCCGTTGGTGGACCGCATGTCAGAGCGTGTTCTAATTGTCGGATACGTTCAGCCCACACCTCGCGTCTGTTCTCTTCGATCAGGATGCGATCCAGTTCGGATTGGAGTGTCTCCAGCGCGGTTTTCTGACGCGCGTCGAGTGCGATCTGACGATGATGCAACGCAGTCTGTTCGCATTGTAACTGTTCGAACCGATCGTGAGCTTCCTGATCCGGTTTTGTACAATCGGATTCTGGATTCAGTTCAACAAATAGTGCGGTGACTGGTGGCAACAGTTCAAGCAGCGATTGAAGCTCAGCTAGGAGTTGATCACAACTATCCAGGCGCGAGGACCCTTGTGTTAGATCATCATTGAGCTCCTGTTCACCGTAAAGAGGACATAAATAGTCCATAAGAACTCAAGTTAGCATGAGAGGTAAAAGCTTCGACCATAGGGACAATAGTAATCATAATCCTAATAATAATAATAATATTAATACGACCGCTTGGTTCAAATGCAAGGGGCACATCATCTGGCAAAAGAGCTTTACAGGCTACACATCGCTCAATCCTAAAGTGTACAATTTCATTGATCGAAAAACGGGAGCTGAAAGATTCCATCCCAGTTGAAATACTTCCAATGGTAGAAACACATATGGTACGCGGAGAAAAACTGGCTCAATGATCGGTAGATCACCGTTTATAGAAAATAATTTTCATTTTGCATATCGATGGCACCACTGTGACGGAAGCTAGTTAATGATAATGATATCTGATATTAGGAGTTCACAGGTAAACTTTTTGGCCACACTATTCTACTGTTGGAGTGGAAGAATAAAGACGACAGTGAACAGTAAAGTTATCGAATAGTGATATTTCAATCGATTCCGGTAACTTAGCCATAAGGTTGTTAAAAGATTGAGAATTTTGGTGTTCCCGTTTACTATGAATAATCAATTTGATATTTTTCCTTAATAGAAAACCAGAACAACGAAACTTATCGCGACAGTAGATTTCAAAATGAACGTGTGAGGCTACCGAAATGTCACAACGCATCTGAATCTGAGATGGTCTTGGTCGGATGAACAAAAATTGGAAAATAATAGAAGCAAATTAATAGCAATCAATTTGTGTTGATCAATGATCAGTAAAATTCCTTCATTCTCGGTAAGCGGATATTTTCACGCAGTGACCATTTGAACCTTTTGTTTTCGACTGTGAGGGTATTTCTATGCAATCCCCGACTAGGAGGAGAGTAGCAGTCTGTCATGGACTTCCACGAATAATCAGCGCGACGACTAGATACATCGACCCATTTTTGCGTCCCAAAGCAACGCTGTAGTACCATTTACAGTTACTTGTTGACCAGATCTCTTTGGGGTATCATATTTCTTCAAAACAGAGATAGGTAACGCCAAAACACACATTGCAACAACTGCAGAGATGTACCACTCATACTAGCGACTATTATGCATGATGCAATGCGCTGAAAAGGTGGTTGGAGGATGTTTACGGCATCTGAGAGAAGACTGAAGAAGTTACTATTGTAACTACGGCTGAGGCAAACTGTCTGAAAACAAATCAAGAGGATTTCCTGAGGCTATTAACCAACTGCTTTTCCAATAAACGAATCTTCTTAGACTCGCAGTGAAATTCTGTTGCTACTTAACACGACAAAATACGTGTTACTGAAATCAAGGTTCATCGTACTACAGTGCGATTACCCCATCGTTTTCAGTCGTTTCGTCCCTCTCACCCGTGACCTTAAGCAAGCA